ATATTATGATTTATCATGCTGAAAATGTTAAAATTCATATTCTACACCATGATCAAGAAAAGACAATAATTTATCATAAAAACCATTAACATTGAGCAAACTTATAGGTTTCTAGTGAATGTGCAGTTGGGCCCAAAACAAAATATGACAGATCTCTTTCAATATGCCCAGATCACCTAGTAAGGTAATGATGGCATCAGAGTGTTTAAACATTATATTCATTCAATTAGATATTGTGGAGACTTGTAGTTCCTCTCCAATTGTTTTTCCAATGATGTCCCCATTTGCAAAAGCTTTGAGGATAACCTCTAAAACTTGACTACCTCCTAAAAATACAGCTATTGACACTCCCTCCATTAACCCAAGGTTGTCTACTCCATACACTAAATAAATCTTTCTCTCAATTAGTACCTAACCACTATTGACACTCCCTCCATTAACCCAAGGTTGTCTACTCCATACACTAAATAAATCTTTCTCTCAATTAGTACCTAACCAGATGATTTGTTGATTCTAAAAACTCTATTTTCTTCTCAGGACTGGATCCATCGAAAACACAAATATTTCTTATATGATGACTTGAGGAACCTACTATTTCTACACACTTTTATATTTGTTGAATATATAGGTTGAGTAGAAATGAAGGGAAGTAAGAGAAGATTTTATAGATGAGAACTTGAAAATACAATCATACCACTTATATATAAGCCAACTAGAGTCTTACTCTCTCTTTATGTGTGTGTGTGTGTGTGTGTGTGTGTGTGTGTGTGTGTGTGTGTGTGTGTGTGTGTGTGTGTGTGTATATATTTCCTTTGGTTTTATGTCCAAGAATGACTTAAATGCCTTATATGGGTCAGGGACATATACATATATTGAAAAACAAACATGTGTATGTAAAGGTAGTTGTGATTGTGGCTCACACCTTTCTTTGATTTTACATCCAAGAATGGCTTATACACACTCTATAGGTCGAGGATAGGCTTTCCATCCAATTTTCTAAAAAACTGGCAAACGAGGTCTTTTTTTAGTCAGATTCCCAAGACTATATTGAGCATTTTCTTTATAAAAATAGGACCATAAATCATGAATTGCACGATGCATATCTCAACTATTATGAGACTTAAGAGTCAATAGAAGATTATCTAAAGACTCTCTATATTTTGAAATAAATCTCATATTTGGATAATTTTCACAGGTTTTGCAGAATGCATATGAGTCCTTGAACATGGTGGGCTAATAAAATCCACTTTGTAAGATTTTTACAGTCTTTTTTTTCAAAAAATAATCCCTACATGTCTTGGAGTGACAAAACTTAATGACACTACTTACCTCATTAACAGGAATGCATCTTTGAAATATTTGATCAGGACAATATTTGAATAAGTAAGGGTCATCCTAATAAAAGTTTTGCACGTTGCTCAAAAACTTTCTTTTTTCTTGGTTATCCAAATGAGCTAACAAAAATCTTAAAGTAAGAAAATTGATATTTTTAGCAAACCAAGGCATTGAACTAAGAGAAAGTAAAGATTCATCATGAAAGTAATCATCGATTGGTATAATGTTGGACGTCAAATTTATTGTCAATTTTAACAAAAGATCCGCATCAATATTTTCGGTGCCTTTTTCATCTGTGATTTCTTCCTGGTAATAAATCATTTGCAAATCTTCAAATTCATCCAACTCAATTTTACTTAAAGTAGATTCAAGTTGATCATAAACTAATTCTTTAATATGATCTACTTTTTGTAAATCATTATCATTTCCAAGTTGCTTGCAAATGTTGAAAATATTCATCTCCGATATTATATTTCCAAATGGTAGCTTCATTATTTCATTCTTGCAATTAATCAATGCATTGAAAGTTGCAAGAAAAGGATGTCCTAAAATAACAGGAAATGAATTACATACTTCAATAGATTGTGTGTCTAAGACAATAAAATCCATAGGATAAATGAATTTATCGACTTGTATTAAAATATCTTCAACTCTTCCTCTAGGTATTTTTACAGATCTACCGATAAGTAAGAGAGTTACAAAAGTTGGTTTTAACTCACCTAGATTGAAACTCTAAAAGACTGAATATGAAAGTAAATTCACACTAGCTCCAAGATCAAGTAAAGCTCTTTCAATTTTATACTCTCTAATTGATTATCTTTTTCGGCCATATTTTCTGAAAATGATGAGGATACGCTACAAAGTCTACCACTTAATGTACATTGTCAAACTCTCATGCATGTGCAGGAAGAGAAAAAAGGAAGAAGAAAACAAAAGAAAAGGAAATAAAATAAAAGAAACAAAGTTAGATACAAGAAAAGTGAAAATTGAAAATAGAAAATAAAATAAATACTATGATTTTTACAAGAATTACCTTCCCGGCAACGACGCCAAAAACTTGACACGACCAAAAAATTAATGTCTTTTCCCAAGTGCAGGAGTGTTGAAGTAATAAATAACCCGGCAAGACCAGAATCGAACCACAAGGAGGTTAACTATATAAATTATAAATAATAATAATAATACAACAACAACAACAACAACAACAACAATAATTAAGAGAGTTTTGAGATGTGATATTGATGTAAGAATTAAACAATGATAAAAACAATTGTCAATGTTAGAGGATCCACTAATAGTATTTCAAACAAGTATAGTATAATACTTTTGTTACTCAACTGGAAACCACATATAAAAAAGGTTTCAATCGGATTATAAATTGTTAACATGATTATATTAGTTATCTTATTTGAATAACTAATACTTGTAAATGGTGATGATGATGATGATGATGATGATTGAAAAAGACTTTGAAATATAAGATTAATGTAAGGATTAAACAATAATAAAATAACTGTCAAGGTTAAAGGATCCACTAATGATATTTCAAACAAGTATAGTATAAACTATTTTTATTACTCAATTGAAAACCACACACAAAGAAGGTTTCATTCGGATTATAAATTACTAACATGATTACATTAGTTATCTTATTCGAATAATGCTAATACTTGTAAATGTTGTCAGATATTTATGGTTATAACTTATATTAACAACTAGTTTCTTTCATAGCACATGTGTTAGTTATACTATATGGTTGGGTTATGAAAGTATCAAGTATTTGTTGTACCAAGAGTTATACAACATAAGTCTAGATTAATCATTTAACAAGTAAAGTATTAAGAGTGAATAAGATAACAAATACAAAACATGTTAGTATCAAACATTAAGATCCATGTTAAGTTTATACTATACTTATTTTTACACCATTAGTGTAACATTTTTACCATGATATAATAAACTTAGCTTTTCAACAAATAAAATAATCGGTGTATTTGGACTTCTATAACTTAAGATATGGGTTGAAAACTGAATATGTTCTAGGCTACATGATAGATTTGAACTTTTCTATTGTTGCTACAATTTGAACTTGAAAATGATCTTTTGAATCTTGAACTTTTAGTGAAAGTTTTAGTCCCATGTCTTAGCTTTCCATCCATATAGAGCATACCTAAATCCAAGTTTTACAACTCTGGTTATGATTCAATAATCGAATGATGTTCTAATTTGGACTGAACCAACATTTCTTTTCTAATCTTAGCTCTCTATTTGTCTTCTTAATTTTAGTTGTTAAACTCATCAATCAATTCCTTGATTTATGTGATAAGTTTACATTTAAGATGAATATTTATCATAAATTAAAGGTATTTTATATTTATTAGACATGTTATTATAAAAAATATTTTTATTAAGGAGTTATTAATATTTTAAGTGTAAAATAATAATATAATTTTTTTATAAAAATACACTTTTAAATACTAATAGTACTTTTAACCTTCATACCTGGTTTGATTATTCGGCACATTCTTTTTTAAATATGATTTTATTTGTAACTTATCCATCTCTGTTTGTTTTTCATTATCACCGTAGCTCACTAGTTCTTCTACTTTATGTAGATGGCATATTCATTACTTCACAAGATCAACTAAAACACTTGTTACAGACTTTATTTAACTTTTTAGCAACGAATTTTCAATGAAGGATTTCGGACCCATTCATCATTTCCTTGGCATTGAGATTTCGTGGTCTTCATTTATCCCAGTCACACTATGCTTTTACTACACTTGCAATTTACCGAAGAAGAGAGTAGACTCGATCCAACTCATCTCCATGCAATCTTCTTTTACTAAAACAAGCTCAGGAAGACTGAATATATAACTAGGATTGTGGTACTCGTTCCTTCCCTATCAGAGCTGACTCTTCTAATGAAAATTCTGGAGAATATATCTTCATGAAACTTGTCTGCAACATATTGCCACCGATGAACGAGTTTTGTTACCTTTTTTTCCGAAGTTCCAGTGACATTGAAGAATGTCACAGTTAGTTGAATTGGGACCAATTCTATCTTCCAAACAATAACAACTCCAAAGGTGTTTCCTTCATAGCTTCGAATGTTCGAAAATAGATTTTCTCCCAATATTGATGCTCGGTCAAGGATTCAACCTTGAACATCCATTAATTGTGCATCAATTATATGGTCTGCAGCAAGGTCATATTTGCGCAGCATCGTGCCATGTCTTGCTCCACTAAAGTACCACGAACACCCACAGCAGGGAAAACACCTTCTGAGAAGTCAAGAGTTATACTTTTTTCTCGCCAATTCTGTTGTAAACTTCGCCTTGAGTAGCATCAGATTGAACCCATGAAGTTGTATTTGCTTCATCAACAGTAACTGCCGCATATTTATGAGATAATTACCACATAGAGGAGATATTAAGAAACTAAAGAAAGAAACTGTCTAAACTAGTCAAGAGCTCTTATATAATAGATAGTAAAGGACTCTAAGAAGATTGACATGTGTTATGTATGGAGAGTAACATGTCATGTCAGCTTAATAACTAACAGAATTATACTAGATCGTAAAGGACTCGAGAAGATTGGAATCTCAAGCTCTAGATAGTAAAGAGCGAGCCTTTATTTATTAATTACTAACGACGTAACTCAATACAAAGTGAAATTCTATTCATATCTAATCTGACATGAAGAAGAGGGATGCGTTTTTCATTTCTAAAGAAATTATGGTAAACATACCAAAGCATCGTTACCAATATCTTTTATTATCTTTCAATTTTTTTTTGTCCATAAATATATATATAATATTTCTGATATACTATCACCAAGATGAGAGAGGAGGGATGCTTTGTTCATTTCTAAAGAAATTAGCCGGATCAACTTTGGTCTTCACATGCACCAACCGGTCAAAGTTGTTCTTGAAATATTTGGTACCCCAAATTCTTGCTTGTTTGTAACTTGTGTTGCCTAGGTTGTTGCCTAGATTGTTCATTCCCAGGTCAAGATCTCTGTAATTGATATATGCTTGTCGTGGATTTTTCGTAACGTAAGGAGTCATATAGCTGTAAAGTTTTCTGATCCAGCTTGTATATTTTTGAGATCTCTCACTGTCTTGATCGCCCCAAAAGACTGCATAATGAATTTGGAATAGATTCCCAGCTCTATGTGGAAATGGAGTGCTGGTCTCGGAAATTTCATCCATTTTGCCCCCATAGGCTGTGAATTGCAATTCAGCTGCTTGGGCATCCAGTTGGTTCAGCCTTTCCCATATTCCTTCCAAAGCGATTTCAGGTATAGGCTCTGTCACATAGTCTGTTTTTCCTTTGAAAGATCCTGTGGATCCTGGACTCCTATCAAGCAAAACATCCAAGGATGTATTGCGTGGAAATTGGGCGAAGTAGACAGTAGACTCGATCCAACTCATCTCGATGCAGTCTTCTTTAACCAAACCGAGCTGGGGAAAGCTCTGTTGCATCATTGATAGGAGTCTATCGACTCCACCAAGAAACAAGGAAGTGTATACGGCGAGTATTGTAGTCTTTCCTTCCTGAGAAGTGTTAACTCGCGAAAGGAAAATTCTGGAAAATAGATCTTCGTCAAACTTTCCTATTGCCGACTGCCACTGATGAACGAGTTTTGTTGCATTTTGTTCCAAAGTTCTAGTGACATTGAACACTGTCACAGTTGGTGGAACTGCGACCAATTCTAGTTTCCAAGCAACAACAACTCCAAAGGTGTTGCCCCCAGCTCCTCGAATGGCCCAAAACAGATCTTCTCCCATCGATGCTCGGTCAAGGATTCTACCTTTAGCATCGATTAATTTGGCATCAATTATGTGATCTGCAGCAAGGCCAAATTTACGCATCATCATCCCATGTCCTCCTCCACTAATGTGCCCACCAGATCCCACAGTTGGACAAACACCTCCTGGGAAGGCAAGGGTTCTACTTTTCTCAGCGATTCTGTAGTAAACTTCTCCTAGTGTAGCACCAGCTTGAATCCATGCAATTTTGTTTCCTACATCAACTGTAACTGTTCGCATATTGATCAGATCAATAACCACAAAGGGTAGAACCGAAACATAAGAGAGGCCCTCATAGTCATGGCCACCACTTCGAATTCTAATTTGCACGCCATGTTTCTGGGAACAAGCAATGGCAGCTTGAATGTGGGCTACATTTAAAGGTTTAACAATAACTAGTGGTTTCGGGGTGGCACGTGTGTTGAACCTGCCGTTTCGTAAAGAAAACTGCAAGACAGATGAATATGAGGAGTTGATTGGGGTGAAAAAGACCATAGAAATGGAGTTTGAGTTTTGAGAATGAAGGCATTGAAGAAAATCCTCCTGACGATCAGCTGAAGCTACCCATGAGAATGAAAACAGGAAGAGAAACAGGAATGGCAACTTTGAAGAGCTTAGAGAGTTCATGATTCTGATAATGTTTTGTGCATATAGAAAGATGCAAGAGACTCCCTTATTTATATAGTTCTGAAGGGTGCTTGTTTATGAAAATTTTGTGCCCTATTAATCTAGAAGACGTTGACGATTACAGCTTGAGGAACATCAACACATGGAAACGTGAAAAATTTCAGACAAGGATCGTAGCCAACTTTTTCGACAAGACACGAAGTTGAAAATTCATGGAAGCATCTCTTGGTGTGGTAGCTTTGTTCATATTTATATGTTCTATTACTTGGGCAGTGACACTCAAGCCATTCAGTTTTGGATGAACTGTTTTTAGTAATTCTGACGATTGAATTAAACAAAAATAACGTCAAAGGATTGATAATTTGTATTTCTAGTTTTTATCCATGTTATGATTGAGTTTTTGGCCTAACATCTAAATGATTGAGTATTCCGTTATCAATATCTTAAATCAATAATAAGCTAAAACTTATCACTAAATGAAGTTAAACTCCTATATATATATATTCTCTTCCTCCCATTTCTTCTTCATTAAATTAAAATCACTACAGCCCTCTTTCTCCCGTTTCATCAATTTTGGTAGCCCCTCACAAATCCGACCACCCAACCTATTGGCGCCTGCCAACCTTTGTCCAGTAGCATCAGCTTTTATTTCTTGATTTTTAAGCTTTGCTTCATAAAATAACTCATTCCTTTATGTCTTAACCCATTTATGCTTAAAATTAATTGATTAAAGTTTGTTTGTAGTTTTGTAATTTAGCTGTAAGTGTAAGTGTTTTGGTTGTTTTTTAATGATAATTTTATTATATTAATATATGATTGTTAGTTTAAAGTTTGTTTGGGGTTTTAAAAAAATAGTTTTAATCTATCATGTGATAAAAGTGAATTTAATTTTATAACTTAAATGGGTTAGAATTAAAGAATTAATATATAATTTAATGAATATAAATTATTTTTATAAATTTTATGAGTTTTTTTATAAGTTAAAATTAAAAAAAAAATCACGTGAGATTGATGATAATTAATTAGGAGTTATCCACTGGTATGTAAGTCAACAATTTAACATGAGATGCATGTGAATTGCTATATATAACACGTTCTAATTATATTAATTTAACATAAAGGTTATCATAAATTATAATTTGGAGACACACTACTGTAATTTATAATAAGATGTGATTTTTTTCTTTTAATTTTATATTTAAATATTACTTTATTTATAATTTTGTATTGATAATTTGTTTCAATTAATTTATTATAAAGTTATTGTAACCTCAAAAAATATTTTGATATTAAATTTATTCTTTGTTAAAAAACCCATTTTAGCGTTTGTTTTTCTATTTTGATCTTTTTATACATATAATTTTTTTATTTAAAACTATATTTTATTAATGTTTTAGTTTTTAGGATTGAGAAAGGAGAGAGAACGTTCCTTAAAAACTATACAAGATTAGAGACTGTAATCATTGCCGCCCACGTTTCATAGTTATCTGTGTTGTTGTGCAGCGTTTAAAATTCGCAAATGGTTTATCCAGGAATGTTTTTCTACGGGAAGTAGACTATGTAATATGCAAGATCAGACAGTACTGTACTCTTTAATCATGCCGCCGGCCACCGTCTCATTCAATATTTGAACAGAGAAAAGTTGGTGGCAAATTTAACTTATTTTACTATAAGTTAAAATACTTGCGTGGAAATACTATTCATGCTAGTAAGTCAACCAACACATGTTTTTTATGTCTTTTTTTTTTTAATAACTGGGTCGTTCAAACTTTATTTACCACCTCAAATCATTTTTTTCATTTGTATTTTTTTTATTATTATGTCCTTCAACCATTTTTTATTCATAGTTTTTTATTAAATCTTCTTATTTCTTATTTAATAATTATAGTTTGGTTTATAAAATCCATCACTAATAGATCATAAAATGTTATTTGAAATCATGAATATATAAGACAATGTAAAATAAATAAAAATATTAGAGAAACAATAAAAATGAAGTATAAAAAAAAAACATAATCTATTATGAATTGCAATCGTTATCTATTGTGATTTTTTTATATCACATGATTTATTTATTTTTTAATTTAATCTCTCATATTAAATTAATATAAAATTGAGTTTAATATTTTATGCAAGTTGATTTTATATGGAGCTTTTGTGACGTTAGCAATAGGTTTTAGTGTCGAGTTAATGTTGAATTTAAAAAATAAAAATTAAATTTATTAATTAAAATAAATTAAAATATTTGGGATTCAATTTCAAACTAAAACCAATATTTAGTTTTTTTTCTCTCTAATAAATAACATTCTTATCTGAGTTCTCTAACTTAAGTTTTAGTTGAAATTAACAGATTTATTAATATATATAATACTTAATTTATTTTATTAAATGAAGATAAAAATTTTGAGTTTTCCATAAAAAATTATCTTGATGATAAAAAAATATTAATAACGTCTGCATCCTTTTTTCCTTTGGTGTTGAGAAAGAAACGTTTCATCCCGCAGCAGCGTACCACAAGAAATATATCTAAGATTACACAAGCTAGTAATATTTGTAAGATTAGACACTATAATCATGTCCGCCCAAGTTTCTTTCAAATTTTTAAGTTATATAAATAACCAACTTACTTGCATTACGCTGTTAGGAGGGTTAAAAATTAATTTTTAATGTAAAAAAAGAATGGGTAGACATTTTAGCATCATGAAAAATTTTATTTACGAATTAAAAGGTTGATGAGATGAAAAAAAAAAAAAACTTGTGAAAATAATCTCTTGATATTATAAATGATACATGAAAGTTTGCTGTTTACATTTCATCACTAAGTTCGAACCAAGCAATTAAGGTCGACCATATTTTTATCTAGATGTTAATGTAGCTTTATTATTCACATTGAATAAGAAGTTTTTTTTTTAAAATTCAGTCTGTTTTATCTTTTTTGTTTTTTTTTTTAATTTTTTTTTTATTTTCTGAATTTTATATTCATGTTTTTTTAATAATTATTCAAGTAATTTTTTAATTGATTAAATTAAGATAACTCTTATACAATTTAATTTTAAATATAATCAAGATAAAAGCTCGAATCCAGATATTTTAAAATTAAAGAGTTTAATATAAATGTTTTTATAATTCTTTACAATATAAATATAAATATGTTTTTTTTATTAAAAAGAAAAATATGTGACCCACGTGCGTATCACATGATATAAATTAGTGTATATTTTAGAAGAGCAAGAAAAATGTGTACGCATATTCATGAGCAGATGCAAGCATCTTTAATTTGTTTGTTGAAAAACAAAAATAAAGTTTGGTCATATTTCAAGGGTAATTTTCTTAACAAGTAGCTTTCATTGAGTTTCTCATTTATCTGGCAAGTATATTTATAAAAAAGATTTTCAAAGAAGAATATTTTGCTTGAATAGAGAGCTGCTAGCTAACTAGCTTGCAGCTATACACAGGCATTCATTGAAATCCTCACTTCTCTGCTTTCCTGAAAGAGACTCTGTCATCAACTACCAATGTATAAGGGTAGACGGGGAGGGATTGATGGCCAGAGGCACATGCATAACGTTTAATCGCACTCTCTCATGTGAGACGTGCGTTTTGAAGATCTTGAAGCAATGAATTTTGTCACGGCACAACAATTTCCCTTCTGACTGACTACAGAAGTTAGAAAGGAAATCAAATCATCAAGAGTGCTCGAGTCCTTGTTATGTTTGGCCTGGTTAATGAAAATTTAGAAAGTGAAATTGCCATTGTATTTGGTTTTTGTGTGGGATTTGTGCAGCCACTTCCTGAAGGGCTAAAAAATGTAATAATGTCATTAATGACTAAAGAATGAATTTTTAAACACTAATATTTTGTTTTTAAATTAATAGCAAATTCATCTAACTTCAACATTAATTCATCTTCAGAATCGCGGCCTATTTGTTGAAATTAAGAGTTTAATGAAAACAGATTTGAAATGTAAAAGTCAATTGAAAATGACATTGAAAAAATCTAAGATCGATAACTATTTTATAAAAAAAGGCCATTGTAAAAACCTAGAGAGAGGGAACACTGCCGTTCCCGTGACCGTTGCTCGACCTAAACATTTCACACCGTCACATAGTCTCCCAGTGATATTTTGCAAACCTTTAGACGTGAAACGTTAGCCATTCTTTTGCACTGCTAAACACACTATTGTGATCTCCACTTTCTTTCAACCCTCATTTCATCCCATTTGTTTTTCTTTTTCTTTCTCCTAACAAACCAGCGAACACCTTCATCTTCCTTAATTAGTTTGAGGCTCCACCTTGTCTTAAACTTTTGAAAAAACAAGCCAAAAATAACTAAGCCTTGTAAAATGTTGTAAAATGTTGGTAGAAGAAACTACTGATGATGGCTTTAGAACACTCAGAGGGAATAAAACATATAGTTTTATTACAAAACAAAACGCTTACAAAATACAAAACACACACTCTTAATACATACCCTCTCTTTCTCTCATGTGTTTCTCTCTTCTCTTTCCCACACTTAATAACATAATCTTAACAGCTTATTTATACACAAATTGAAAGGCAACAAGTAGTGATAGTTGATAGTAGGTGAATGTAGGTGGTAGTAGGTGGTTGATTGAGTTTACCACAACAAATCCCCCCTTTAAACTCAATCAATGGATGTCATGCCAGCATGGACTTCAATTTGATAAATATTTCTCCCTTTAATGGCTTTGTAAAGATATCTACAACTTGATCATTTGTTTTGTAGGATATTAATTCAACTTCTTTGTTTTTCACATGCTCTCGGATAAAATGATAATGTGTATCGATGTATTTACTTCTTTTATGATACACTGGATTCTTGGCTAATGCAATCACTGATCGATTATCAATATAAATCTTTAT